AAACGAAGTTTATTTTTAAAAGTTTTATATCTTCTATCCGTTTGAAAGAAAATTATAAAAATATCGTTCTCAGGTAATTGAATCGGTCTCAGTAAGTCTCAAGTAAGTTCAATTGCAAGAAATACTCTGGAGTGTAACTTGGAATAGTCTTACTCTCAAGTGGACAGGTACCATTATGTCTTTAAATCTAATAACTTCTCTTTCAAGCGTATCATTTTAAAACACCTCTTCAAACATTTCAGAGTCAACACAATCGGATGTGCATATAAGTTTCTGATACGTGAGTTAATCATTTGTCAAATCGATTCATTCCACGAAACGAAACGTAACAAATGTCGTTCACCTATAAAAGGTCAAATATCAACCGATGGTTTTGGGTTTAAAAATTGAAAGAATATCCAAAAGGTACGAGGTTATTTAATTATACGAATATCTAACAAATTGATTTAACCCAGTCACAGATACTTCATTTTGACACTTAAAAATTTAACTCAGTCTGGTGACTCAATGAATCGACCAACGAAATTTAAAAAAATTAAAGAAATGGAATTATCACTTCAATCTCTCAACAACCAATGTCATGTTCATGTATAATGGACGTTTCATTCATTCGTTCAAAAGCGAAACTCGAGTTCTTCATAGCACCGAATGAAATCGATTTGATATTCGGTAAATTAATTTAATCCAAGTTGTAGGTATTTCACCTTCACTCTCGAAATTTTTAATTCACACCTGGTGCCTCAATGAATCCTGCAGCATGATACATTCACGAGGAGTCGTCAGAACAGGAAGGAGGAAGACCATGGTGGTCAGAGTTCTTTGTCCCTTGGAATTACTATTCCTCGAGTGTCGATGTCGACGTGGTCCATCCTTTTTTGGCATTTCTTCCTTGCACAGGTGTACCATGAAGGGAACACTTTGGCCGTGTGCTTCGCACGCTTTCACCATCGAGGCTCCTCGCGAAGGTTACTGGTTCTTTTTCTGGTCCGCGACTTCCGGCGTCTCCTAACTTCTCGTTAGCGCGGGACACGTCCCGCGTAGTGACCATGGCATCGTGGACAATTTTCAAGTTTTTGTCAAATTTTATTCTGGTTAATTCGCATTTATTCTGGTTAATTCGCTAATTGTGGACATGTTGAAATCGGTAGAACTACGTGAAGATCATCTCGCGATTTTCAGCCTGTTGCTTTTGGATATCGACTCTGTTATATTTCAGGATTCCATTATTACTATTTCCACGCGTGTTTTATAGTGTATAGGTGTTTATACTTGTATCGTTTCCCTTTTCGTTTTATAGTAACTTTTTTATCTAGGATTGTATGATACAGTATAATATGTTTCTGAAATTTGCAATACTTTGTGAGAATGTAGTATAGATACATTATTTTGTGAAAATTTAGTGAAGGCAGTGTATGTATAATATAATGAATATATTATAGGTATATTGTTTTGTGAAAATATACTATTTTGTAGATTATTTGTTGTAGTGTTTTGTGGAGTTAGAATATAATTCGTGAAGCTATAAAAAGTCCCTAACTTTTCTTTCAAATGTCCATTCCTAGTATACAGGTAATAAAATCACCAGTGCCAAGGCTTTTAACTGTAGATATTCAGCTAGCGTACAGTGTGTTAAGAATCTAAAGCTGACGTATTAATTGTTCTCTGTGTTTTATTGTTCAGACTGTTAATACATTGATTGCTGTGGTCACTGTAGGCCCACAATTTTCACAAATGACACCATGATGGTCATAATCGATCAACTGAACAATACTGAAGAAAAATGCGTAAAAATTCTTCAGCTACAGCCTTTATTATTTGATTACTTCAACTAATATTAAAATAACTATGTAAAATAGTAACAACGCAATTTGTAAGCAATTTAACAGAATTACATAATTGTATCATGTAACATTCTATCATTCTATGATTTCAAAGTGGCTAAGCCAATAGAATACATTAGTTATTCAACGTACTGAAATTACTATTTCTTCAGCATAGTTTAGGTCAATTCAGATTATACGTTATATGTAACTGTTCAGTCACGACTTCATGGTGTAAATTGAAGATTTTATATTCGGTAAATTTCATTCGGCCGAGATTAAAATGACAGAGTGATTTGTAAGGTAGTTGGGACCATTTGTGGCAACTCGTCATCAGAGCGATTCACAGATGAGAAGATGGCTAACAGAACGAATGCGGGTCTGATTGGCCATCGCGTAACTGAACCACCTTAATACCATCTGAAAGCACACTATACGAATTTCCATTATTGTCAAAAGAAAACGTCGCATCTACCAATAAAATCCTCAACGATGATACAAAACGGCAAACGAAATAGATCAACGTTCATCAAGTTTCATTATTTATTTAGCCTGTCTTACTCCGATTACTCCTTTAACTCTTTCAATTTATTCCCGAGCAAATAACAAAAGTAGTCATTATCTATTTCTCGCTTGCTCTATGTATCCATCTTATTTATTCTTAAAAGAAAAAAAAAAAGGAAAGAAATCCACGCGTTAAAGATAATTTACAGAAGCCATTTGGAGCAGAGAGCAAACACTAGAGTAAAGTAGAAATGAAAGAACCAAACTCGTAGGCTCGCGTCTACCTTCTGGCTGGCCTCGAACGAGGAACCGATCTTATCTAGGCTATAAAACTTTCATTCGCGTTCCAGTAGGCAAGATTAAAATCTCCTCGATTTTTCGCAATACCATGGTCAATTTCCAATCGACCAACAGAGGTACAAGAGTATCGGCTACTCGATTCTGACCCTATTTAATCCTCGTCGAATCTCCTAATGGTGCATGGTTCTCGTTGGTAGTCACGACGTTCGTTTATCGTTTATTCATCGTTCGTTTATCGTCCTCGTCGTGTTTCCGCTTTGTTTCGACTGCTTATTCGAGGTTTATCGTTATCACGGTCGCAGATCGGCCGATGTTGGACGTCGTCCCCGGCGTCGGCGACGAGCGCCGAGAGATCGATGGTCTCCGATGCTGCAATGTCCACCTCTGCGTCACTTCATCCAGAGGATAATCGGCCGATGGTATCGTCTGGGCTGCTCCGTTCCTCGAAAATCGTCCTCTGATAACTGCGTTCGACCGTCTGCCCTCGAAGGCCACCGAATTACCCCGCAATTTGCGGTTCCCAGGGCGTGCAATTAGCGTTGGGCCACGGAGAATTTTAACGAGCGGTCAACTTATTAGCACCGGTGATGCCCCTGCGTTGCGTTGAGACGGTGTTGGACCCTTCAGGGTAAAGCAACCTCTTTTGCGAGTGTGGGTCGTCTGCTGGTTCTGTATAGAGTACGTACATGTATAAAAATTGAGTTGGACCATTGAGGAGAGAATTGATTGATCAGAGTTTTTGTTTGTAGAGATGAGAATGTAGAAAGTGTTGTGAATGATGAGAGTTAGTTGCAGGGCGAGTCTAGTTGGCTGGGGAAATGGATGAAATGCAATGGTAGGGTACTTAAAATAAAAAGTTAATTTCTTGCAGTTTAAAATTGTTAATACCTTATACTATCTTCACCATTTGTATGCAGGGTATATGGAGAATTGAATTACATAAAGGAATCGCAGGGTTCCATTTAAAAAACGAGTATAATTGTATGTTGCAACTGGATCAGAACATTCTTGAAGCAAATCATGCTATACCATGATAGTATTACTAAAGTTATACATTTTCTATTATATATATCTTCTTTTCAATGCAATAGAAACAGAGGTATATAGGCTCAATAGACTCAATAGGAATTCATCGACCTTGAATCGACCTTGAAGTAACCTTGTACTGAGAAATTTAAATTTCATCAACGGGAGTATCGTCGCGTGAAATGACTCTATTTGAAATAAATTGAATGTTCGAAACGATGAGCTCCAATACTGATACGTGCCTGTACAAGCCCAGTAACCGAGGGATTGAGAATTCTGCATCGGTTATAAGTTATTAGGGGCCTGGATTGTAGGGTAGACACTGCGTATCCGTCATACATCGACATTCGACATATTGGTACCATTAAATGGTCTCTGTCCCTTTTCTTCTTTCATTTCGTTTCACCTCTTCTTCTTGTGCAGTTTGGTAATCTAGGTAACCCCGTCTACTGCAACGAGTGCAGCTCGTCGTTGCTTACTTGGCATAGAAAACTCACGACGAGATGCACTCGTCGAGAATTACTGTAGAACGAGGTATTTTGCAACAGAGAAAAATATGCAGAAGCAAATGAGCGTGATACTTTTAACATAAGTTCCTATATCGTATATTACTTTATAAAGACAAGGAATTAAAAATTAAATTCCATATCTGGTTATTGTCATCGGCAAATAAATTGCTACGCGAGGTGACCTAACTTAAAATCTACTTCCATGATAGGTTTTTATAGCAGAAAATTTTCGGAAGCTCATTTCCTCTTTAAAGTGGATAGTAAAAGATACCACGAACCTGGAAATAGGTCACAGAAGAAACTTTGAAACTAGAACAACAGACCTATGATAAGTAGCCAATACATACTAACATAGCGTTAAACATAAAAGGAACTAATGGAATGTATTTCAAATACGCATAAAAATACCAATGTGAAAAATATAACAATGGAAAATACAGCGAGTATAGGTTAAATATACTATACACAAACGATCATAATTGAAATAGTCTAGTAAAGACGAATAAGTATACGATTACCAGTGATAAAGACAAATGTGTATAATAACACGTAACTCCATGTACTAATGGCAGAAATTAGCCATTTTGAACGACCTGGTAATTTTGATAAGTGTAATTATCCCCTATAATTCTCCCTATAACTCCAACTATAATTATTAATATGGCTAACACGATCAAATATATGCTTCCTGATACCATCGTCAAATATTTAAATTTATCGTGATACCGCGGTATGTCTTATCAGCTACACACGTATCTTTTATCATTATTTGAGATCATCGGCCATCAGGCTTTCATCTCTAACCTATCAATTGATTGAAGTATTTCGTTGTCGTTTGCAGACTGACGGAGTCGGTGGGAAACATCCACGACGGTATCGGCAACTATACTGCAGACGTCAAGTGTTCCTGGCTGATCCAGAGCAGCCCGAACTCCACGATACGGATACACGTGGAGCAATTCGCCACGGAATGCGGCTGGGATCACATGTACATCTACGACGGTGACAGCGTCGAAGCGCCGTTGCTCGCTGTCTTCTCTGGATTGATGCACAAAGATGGCTACCATATACGCCGCGTGCCGGAAGTGATCGCGCAGTCCGGAAGTGCGCTGCTTCACTTCTACTCGGACGTAGTGTACAACATGAGCGGCTTCAATATTACCTACAAGATCAACGCTTGCCCAAGCAGGTGATTATGCACTTGATTTCATCCTCGTTTCATCCCTTCTTAGTTTGGATTGTTATCTCTCTGTCTTTTTTTTTTTTTTAGGAATTTAGGAGTGAGCTTTTGTAGAGCGTATTTTGAAGTTTCTGAATGCTTGGAGTGTGAACCTCTGGAAGGATTCTTTTGGGAATGAACCTTTAGGTGTTTGGAATCTAGGGTCTGAATAGAGAGTTGGAGATCTACTTTGTTTTGTGATTTTTGGAATGGTGTTTGCAGACTTTTGGTTGACACTAGTTTAATTTTAGTGGTAGAATGTTACTGTAGGCTTGTGTTAGGTTTGTTTGTTCTTTTTGTAGAGTTTAGAGGTTGTGAGAGGATTTTCGGTTCTCTGAGATGTAGATGATACAGCCTGCCTTATTTTTAGAACATTATATTTAGTTTGTCCCTTTTGTAGAATTCTTTTAGACTTGCTTTTCATGTTTTAATTTAAGATTCAGTCTATGTTTATAAGTCATAGAAAATGATTTGGTAAAATTATACTTTTATTAATACTTGCGTATTATTAACTGTAATTATAATTTCACAAAGAGTTGTGCTTTGTTTGGACCAGCATCAGTCTCTATGAATAAAAGTCGACAACGGTATTTTCATCAAGAAGCTTCCCTTTTTCAGTATACAAATCTCAATTGAACTTTGACACACGGTAGATATAATTCCAAAGTATATCAGTAATCGTTTCAGTCGTTCCAAAATTTGATTACGCCGTTCATTGATTCCACTCTATCGTAATATCAATTGACCCAGCTCCACTTTCTATCTCGTTAAATTTTTTCAGTATACAAATTTCAATTGAACTTTGACACACGGTAGATATAATTCCAAGTATATCAGTAATCGTTTCAGTCGTTCCAAAATTTGATTACGCCGTTCATTGATTTCACTCTATCGTAATATCAATTGACCCAGCTCCACTTTCTATCTCGTTAATACTATCCGCTGATTACAAAAAAAGAAAAGAAAAAACTCAACAAAAAATACAGATATAAACTGTCATCATCGTTAATTCATTGTCCTAGGTCAGGAACTCCAGAATTAAAACCACCCATTGACACCGATTTTCCATTTACTGTGGCCTCGTTGACCATTTCTCTTGTAACGATATTTGTTCAAGTCCGATCAGGCAAACGTTTATTCTATCTTCGCGTGCAAATACGATAAGAGAGTATTTATAGTGGCGATTAGGATCGCCACACATGTAGCTTGGCTTTTTAAAGATTTGCACAGCCTACTTTCCTTCTTGTGTGTACATACTTTTGGGTGTCCACAGGTATTCGCACATTGACTGCTCCGGCCATGGAGTCTGTATCGACGGCGTTTGCACGTGTGACGCTACATGGATTGGCGAGGCCTGCGAGATTCAAGTTTGCCCGAACAATTGTTCCCATAGTCATGGACAGGGCGAGTGTAACCGGGAGAGCCATCACTGTGACTGCGTGCACGGTTTCAAGGGTGAGGTTTTCCATTAGAGGCGTCCGGTGAAGTATCTTGAAATGGTGGAAGGCTTGGTCGATTGTGTTCTTACTCTTGCGAATACAATCTGTGTGCAATGAATGCTTCTGAAACAATAGGATTACCGAATAATTACAAATTTCATGTAAACGAATTTTATTTGCTTATGTGAAAGATGCTTATGTCATTGTTTTATCAGTAGTTTAGTGAAAATGCTATATGGTGTAACAGTAGAACACAGTAGTGCAGTGATAAGCAAACGGTATGGGAATTAGAAAGTACTTGCATATTGGTATATAATTTTGTAGTCACACAAAAGTGAAGAAATACCGTTGCTAGGTGGATTTGTACCTTAGTAGTAGTTGAAATGAAATGTATTTGTATAGAGTAATTAAAGACCATTTTATATCTCTTCAGGTTCTGACTGCAGCCAAAGAAGTGATCGTGGATTTTGGGAGAGCGTCACGTACACTGACTTCTCACCGGAAGGTTCGGCTAGTCATTGTTCCATCGTTTGGAAGGATTCCTTGTATGTAGTTGGCGGTGAGAGCTTTCATCGCACCAAGATGATTTACGTGTATGATTTCAATGGAAACGTCTGGGAAACCCCTCATGTGGAGGGTAAGGTTCCTCTACCCCGGTACGCGCATTCGTGTGTACTCTTTGGCGACAAGATATTCATGTATGGCGGTGTACTGCCTAATTCCACGGTAACCAACGAGATCTGGGCCTTTGACGTGTCGGCAAAAGTCTGGGAGAACGTAACTGTGCACGACAACTACCATAACAACAAGACCATGCGTGGTCCCTTAAAGGTGGTTTAGTTTTCCTTTTTTGTCTTATAACATTCTATACTGAATTGCCTTAACACGTTATATTTTGATCGAATCAGAATCTTTTCCCTCAAAACTGTTGCATTCAGATCATTTTTGACTATCTACATTCCTTTATTTATTTGCGTTTCCCAGTTTATCTGCACTTTCTGAAACATCTGTTTATATTTTTCAGATTTTTCATTATCTGTTTATTTCTTTTAGACCTTTCGTTTACATTTTCGCTTTATTTATTTCTATTTCGAATGAAAATATGATTTTCTGTTTTTCTTCTTTTTCTTACACTATTAATAGCTTTCTTTAAATATTCTATATGTCAAAACATTTTGAATACTCTTATTTAATGTGTTACTTTACACAGGTAGCTGGACACACTGCAACCCTGGTGCAGAGTCATGGAAGGAAAGAAAAGATGGTGGTAATATTTGGCTATTCACCTCAGTATGGCTATTTAAACGAGGTCCAGGAATACTATTTGGGTACCCGCGAGTGGCAAATTGTGGAGACAGTCGGATTCCCTGTAAAGGGTGGCTATGGCCATACTTCCGCCTATGACCCGTTAACGAGTTTAATTTATGTATATGGAGGATATGTCTCAGAATCACAGAGCACACAGGTGGTAACCAATCGACTGTACTCCTACCACCCTAATTCTCGTGAGTGGACATTGTTGACGTCTGCCCCATCGGCACGTTTCTTTCATACGGCCGTGTTCATTTCTGGTGGCTTGATGATCGTCTTTGGAGGCAACATGCACAATGATACGCAACATTCAGATGGAACGAAGTGTTACTCAGCTGATACGATCGCGTACGATGTCACGTGTGATTCGTGGCATCAGTTTCCTATGCCCAAAGAGATGACCGATCTGCCTAGGTATGGGCACAGTACGACAGTGTTCGAGAAATCGATGTACATTTATGGAGGATTTGATGGACAGATGTTGTCTGACATGTCAAGGTAGATTTTTTTTTATATGGATTAAAATATAATAATTAAAATATTTTTACTATTTTGGTACGTTTGATATGTCTACTATCTTCTATATGTTGATATTATTATTATTATGTAACTTATTGAACGAAATAAAAAAAGAAACCTCTGTTAATCCGGCCACTAGGTATACACCAGGAAATTGCGAACACCTAACAAATCAAAATCAATGTTTAAACGCAAGGACAGGCGTGAAGTGCGTGTGGGACAAGAGTGAAGATCGATGTATACAGATTACCAAGATATCCCGGCAAGTGCTTCTTAACGACGACATGCACGACGGAATTTACATGAGATGCCTAGACGACACGCCGCCACGCGGGATGACGTCTCACAAGGAGTTATGCAAGCTGCTCACGGATTGCGTGGCATGCGTGCAAACCTCGTACAATTGCGTGTGGTGCGGTAAGAGTTGCTCGTACGAGATTTGCCGAGACAACGCTAATGCACCTCCGACCAAGGCAATCACGAATCTGGTACAATGCGACGCTCACACCGGCATTGAGTGTTTGCAATTGCACACGTGCCATGCGTGCTCTAGTAATCCGCATTGCATCTGGTCCTGGTCGAATGGACCTGATCGGTGTAAACCGTACTCGAAGGCTCGAGACGTGAGTAGTTTTTATTCAAGAGCTACTGTTCATGTATTTGCTATGACTACAGCGGAAAGTTGTAATGAAGATTCACACTAAGTTAATTTTTTAGATAGATTAAAGGCTTTGTTTGTGTTGAAAATAGTAGGGTGGTTAATAGATTTCAGCATACATTTAGTGTTAGCTATGCTTTGTGTTGGTTTAAAATATATGTATGTTAATAAATTTCAATTTACAGCAGGTGACAATTTTAAATGGAACTATCCAAGCACAAAGGTTATCCATAGATTCCTGTCGCAACCCGTGTGTGGATTATACTTCTTGTAAAAATTGTACGGAGTCAGATTGCATTTGGTGTCAGAATGAGAAGAAGTGCGTCGATAAAACTGCATATCCTGTGAGTTTTCCCTACGGCCAATGCCGTGAGTGGACTACGGTTGACGCAAAATGTCGTGCCACGGAAACAGGAAAAGAGTGGTGTACGTTTTATTCGTCTTGCGCGGCATGTCGTTCTGATCCTGGATGCGGTTGGTGTGACGATGGTTCTGGAACAGGAAAGGGATTGTGTCTCCCAGGTGGAGCTCGTGGGCCAAGTCGTAAAAGCTTGGACACTTGCCCATTTGAACGATGGTACTTTACCAAATGTCCTAGTAAGTGAATTATAATTGAGCAACAAAACATTTTTATTATTGTAACATATTTAAAATTGATTATGTAATATGCACGCACTAATTCTCTACGTATTACAATTTTAGCTTGTCAATGCAACGGTCACAGCAAGTGTCGCTCAAATAGCAGTATATGCATTCAACCATGTGAAAATTTGACTTACGGACCTCATTGCGATAAATGCATGCCCGGCTATTACGGAAGTCCCCTAAATGGAGCCACTTGCCAACGTAAATTCATTTTACTCTGTGTAATATCGTTAACCTACCAATATCGAGTAGGTCATTCAATTACATTTTCTCATTACAGCCTGCTTTTGTAATAACCAAGGCACACAGTGTTCCAGCGAAACGGGTAAATGTTCCTGTACAACGAAAGGCATTATCGGAGATCATTGTGAACGATGCGATGTATCTAGCCTCTATCATGGAGACCCTACAAATAAAGGATCATGTTTTTGTAAGATATTTTTCTATATCTTTTAGTAATAAAATATAAGATATATTACATTTGAATTAATTTCTTTTTTTCTTTCACAGACGATTTGGCAATCGATTATCAATTTACATTCAATTTAAGTAAAAAAGAAGATCGTCAGTATAGGGCAATTAATTTCAAAAATTCTCCACCAAAATCCGATATTGATGCGGAATTTTCTATTACCTGTTCCGTTCTGGCTAAAATGAATATTACCGTGAGGAAAGGCAATACGCCGGAACTGCCAGTCACCCTTGGTGCAAATTGCACGACCAACATGTACAAGTATCGTTTTATGAAAGAAATTTATGGTTTTGGTAGTGAAAACAATAACACGTTGATCACGGTGTACGTTTACGTGTACGACTTCCAGCCACCTGTATGGATTCAAATTTCCTTTTCTCAGTATTCCAAACTCAACTTGCAGCAGTTCTTCATAACATTTTGCACGTGAGTATTTGAAACATCGTGCTAAAACAAACTAAACATGTAGATAGATGTGTCGATTATTTATGTGTTGTGTGTAGGTATTAATAACCGTGAGATCAAGAACATTGTGATTTTGTTCATTATTTTTTTTTTTCAAAATTTCCTCCGCTTTTGTGTTGTCCTAAGCCTCAGGCAGTATTTACTTGTAAACTAGAGATTACATGCCTAGGTGCTTCCTCGCTCTGCTGTTGGTGGCTGCTGTCCTTTGGAAAATTAAGCAAAAATATGACATGTACAGAAGAAGGCAAAGATTGTTCGTAGAAATGGAACAAATGGCCAGTAGGGCGTTTAGCCAGGTTTTGGTGGAAATCGAGAGGCGGGATATCGATAATTCCGATTCAGAACGAAGTGAGTCTGAGTTGACTAATTGTCGTAAAAAGAAAAAGGTCAGTATCTATTTTTATTTTTGTGTATAAAATAAAATACTGAAATTAATCTATTTTTATTAATATTTTCTTAAAAAATAAAAAAAAAAAAAAATAAATAAAAGAGAAGAATAGGAAAAGAACAAAATAACGTTACCGCGGTGGCAGTACGTGATTTAAATAATGGCGCCATTAGTGACGCCATTAAACTCGAATCGCGCATGACTCGATATTTCGATATTGCTTGCGATTCTCGTTTCTTCTCTTCAAATCTCTCGTGACGTTGGTTCAGTATGGTTTTGCGCGTAGTAGTGCTGCGATTTTTGTCAATTGTTGTAGAACACAGTATATAATTGTGCGTTATTTGGTTTCCTTCGTAAATATTTACAGGACGCCCCTAGTCCGATCGCGCTGGAGCCATGTTGTGGTAACAGAGCAGCGGTCTTGTCGTTGCTAGTCAGACTACCTACAGGCGGTGAACCGTACACGCCGGCTGGTCAGAGCGCCGGTTTAGCCGTAGCGTCTGCGTTAGTTACACTGGGTAGTCCGCGGAGGCCCTCTCAGGAATTGACGACGAAGGAGCCGACGAAAACACGAAAGTCTGCCAGCCAACACCCAGATTCCACTTGCATTTAGCGATAACGACGCGAAAGTAGAGACACGTTAAACGTAAACTACGCCTTGGGTGACTATGAGCCTTAGACATGTTTCTGTGATCTTGCCTTAGCGAACGGGCAGGACTGTTCAACGGTTAAACTCTTCGAACTCTGATCGAGTGAAGTGTGTGATTCATTATTAATTTTTCTTTTGTTTTTCTTTTCGTTCGTTCCGCGATGAATCTTCGTTTCGTTTTGTACGACCGATCGGTAAAACAAATTTCGACTTCCCGAGAAAGGTATTAACGAGGTGAATCGCATCTGTCATACTCAACGGGTCAGCTAAGTGGTACGAATAAACGCGTTGGATTATCATTGTGAATTGGAGACCGGCCATTTTCTGCACAGCCGATTGTTGGTAAGTAAATCAGTCCATAAATTGTACGCGTAACATAATGACGGCAACACGCTTGGCTGACTTGGTATTTTTTTATTTTATTTCATTCGTTTCTACGTGACGATGTACAGTGTTGTATATAGATCTGTTACGCGGTTTATATTTTTCGTTTATTCATTGCGATCGAACGGAATCGAGTTCGTCGCGCGATCATCGAAGTGTCTTCGAAAGGGCTATAAGAAAAAACGAATGTTCTTTATTGAAGAGATCGCTTTCCCGCGTAATAAAGTTCAGTGCTGCCCTCGATGAGTTTCGACGAATTCACGCGAGATGTCGCTAAAAACTGACGGGAGGTCGACGAACGAAAGATCGGAATATTCGATTTGCTAGATGCAGTTCGAAAATACTTTTCGTTCTTCATTCTGTAAAGTTGTGTAAATATGTGTATGTCTGTATATCCGAAGTGAAAATCATGACGCAAGCAAACTGTACAGATAAAAAGTGGTTCGAAAGAAGAAGGAAGGAAGCACGAGAGCGAGTGACAAGGAATATATCATTTTTTGTGTATTCGTCTCTAGTAAGCGGTAAAGATTCAATTCTAAATTAACGGAAATGAATGGAGGTGAATTATTAATTTTTAAAAATCATACCATCCTCGTATGATCTTCGTATTCGATATACCTATTGTGCCAAAGCATTTTTCATATTGGAATCATTATTCGGACAAAAATATCAAAATGTCATTGGTGTAGACACAAATTTTTATCTATAAATCGATCAGTTTTCGAAAGATTATTAAATACGACAAAACATAGGGATGCATTTCTTTTATTCTCTCTTATCTCTATTCATTTCCATAGAAAAAAATGTTCGCTACACGATCGAAAAAAGTAAATCAGGGAAGTGGGCCATTTCGTGTCGAAATTTCTTTTTCTCTTTATTTTTTTTTTTTTTTTTTTAAATCACTGTATAATTTCGATCGTGTAGTGCACGACGTAATTTTAACGTATAACGAACTTAGAAAAAGAAGAAGGATGTGGACGTTGCAATAAGCTCTTAAGAATCGCGGTAATTCTTCGGTCGACTCTTATCGTTTTCGTTTCGCCACCAGATGGCGGTGCTGGTTGTTTCACGTACCATGCCGACCCTTAAACGTTTTAAAAACGAAAAAAGACAAACGAACGTATATGTTACGTGGCTGTGGTTATTTTTCTTTTATATTATCGTTCATTTATATTATCGATATACAAATTTCTATATTTACGTGGCCAATAAACGACAGCTGCTTCCGTTCTGAAATTTAGAATGATCTCACGTTCTTACTTCCTGTTCTGAATATGGAGGCAGCTCTTACTATATCACGTTTTCCATAGAACGGATAAAGGAGGAACCATTTTTGCGTTCTGTCGAGCGAAACGGTTTCACGAAACTTAAACCTCCAGCACTTGCAAAAGACACGAACAGAATTTCGCGTATAATAAGCGTCGTTTATTTTAATTTTTTTACGCAGAAATCGAGGGTTTTTTTTATTCTTTAATTTTTTTTTTTTAGCGCGCGAGCAATCATTTCATCGTACCGTTCAAAGTAATTCGACGATCTTCTGCTCGTCGATCAAAATCGATAGAACCACCGTGTATCATTTTCGGGACTTTTTACCTAATTATTTTATTTACATTATGCGACCAGCTTCCGGTGTGACCTTCGCCACCAGTCGAGCAGACGATCTTATAATTACTCTGTACATGCTATAAGACTCGAGTACACCAAGAGTGTCGTTCTAGCTTAAGTTTTCGTTCACGAAGGATGCGAGTGACGTTAGGCGTCTCTTTTTTTCTCTTTTTTTTTTTTTTTTTTAACCATTGTACAGCACGGATCAAGTGCAATGCATTTCGTTTTTACCATGTAATACTCATCGAGTTTCTTTCATTCTCTCTACTGTATCCGGAGCCTCTTTTTGTGAGGGTGCAACCAGACGCTAGCCAATACGTGCACGGGTATACTGAGAAAATGACGACAAAGTTACCTACCATTCTGAGCGTCACCATTATCCATGAAAAGAATTATTTATCCTTGTCTCACCATGATCTGGTTGCACCCGCGTAGAGAATAGTGTATATTTTATTACCGTAAAGATAATTTAATTTTTTATACAACTGTTTTACTTTTTGTTTGTTTTTTTTTCTCTCTCTTTTGTAAACAACAGGGGCGTATCCTTCGCCCGGTTCTTCTTCTCGAATCGCGACCTTTTATTGTTCATCGTGCGAGAGTTTAGTTGTACATATGCGAGTATAAATAATGTTACGTTATATTTAAAGAGAATAGGAGTATATTGGATATATTGCTCAACTTTTGAGTAGATTCTTCTTCGTCGCTTCTGAGGATAAAAGTTTTCAAAGTTTCTCCTTTTATTTTCCTCATCGCATTCGAAAATACTTGGATTTGTGTTCGCTCGAGGGGAAAGCATTTAACATAACTGTAACGAGGGGAGGAAGAATGATAAAAGAAAGATGGAAAAAAACGGGAGAGATTTTTTGGAACATCGTTTTTAGCGGACGATGCTCAGGGTTGACGAGTACCGGTATTCTACGTCCCTGTTCTCTTCTTCTTTTGCATTTGTCGAGTGTCTTGATACTGCCAACTTTTACCCTTATCCCCACCTAATTTCTATGATCTAACTGTCTTCGAAACCTAGCGACTAGACCCCAACCCGTTTAATCGTTGAGAACCCCTTGCTTCCCGATCCCGTCATTCATGCATTGTGATGTACCAAAATAAACCAAACAAGACGAGAGAAAAAAAAAAAAGAAAACAATTACAATCGAAAAAATTCAAAAACTTTTTGAGAACCACGGTGTCCAAAAAAATTCCGTCAGAACTTGGTTCCAACTACCAAGCCCTCCTCTCAACTTCCCAATTTTGTTCCATATCTTTTCTTCGCATCATTATGGCCGTAAGCTGGCACCAAGTTACCTGGCGAATAATCCCAATCTCGAAATTTTTCTCCACGTTCTCAGAGAAACGAAATTGCCAACGTCGTTGTTAGAGAAATTTTATTCTACAGTCGTTTCGATCAACGCGTCACTGCTAACCGAGATATGGTTCAGCGAGAGTGGTGGGGGTAGACCCACGTTATAGCCTCGAGCGCTCGACTGATTTCAGCCGGGCTATAGCTCGCAGAGTCAGGGACGACGTTTTCCGGTAGCAATGGGATTACTAGGCCCTAGATTAGAACGGAATCGCACACCGTTGTTGTTCATGCACGAATTGTGAGGTTGGTGAACGATTGCGAAGCTTTCTCGATCATGGAGGTCCATCGATCCTATCGCCACTGATCCACGCTCCTCTAATTCGTCCAGAGAATCGAAGGAACTAGACAGAGAATGTAAATCAGTTGTAACGAGCATGAAAGGTAATGAATGGAACGATTATGATCGGGATGTACGTTCTCTGGGTAACGAGTGCACATTCATAGTCTACGTAAAATAGACCTGGTCCCTTAGATCGTTAGTCCATAAGCATAGACGATTATAACGTTGGATTATAGCGCAAATGCAATGTTTCCCGACTGTCTTCGAGTTCTTTGTAAGAATTATCACACAACATGGACATCGTTATAGTGTTCGTTGACGCTGAAACGTGGCTGAGTATGTCTCGTGTTGGTTCTCGGCCAAAGGAAATGTTCACTTTAGAGTTTAACGTTTTGGAGAAATATCGAATGTGATGCAAGGTCAGTTGTCCGTGGTGAAGTCGCGTGGTGTGATTCGTTAATTCTTCACCTGTCCATCGTGCATAATCGCAGAGACGAGGTGTCTCTGGGGCCTAGGTTACAGCGGATCGTTAGACGTTCTAGGATCCTTGTAGGATCTACGAGACATTCAAGATCTCTAGAATTTTTAGGCTTTCGAAGATTTGTGGATCCTTAGATCTAGAGTTTCTAGAAGTTTCTAGTTTCTCTTTAGGGTCTATAGGACCTCTAGGACCTCTGGAGTTTCTTGGATCTCCGGGAACTGAATGGTTCGCGAGATCTACGGAATCTCGAGAATTTCTAGGGTCCCTAAGATTCCCGACATGCCTGTAAATTCTATGATTTTTACAATCTTCGCGATTTCAAGTATTTCCGTAACTCGAGGGTGTTTTCTGATCAAGACTCTTCTAGTTTTTATGATCTATGGGAAATCTAGGGTACCCAGGACTTCTAGAATACCTAGCGCCTTTAGGACTGTTAGAATCTCGAATATTTCAAAGACTTTTAGAAATTCCAAGATCTTCCAGATCTTTGGAGTTTCGTGATCTCCAGTGAAGTCTAAGATACGGAGAATTTTTAGGATTTCTTGGATCTCTGGGACTTTTTGAATCTCGAGCATCTTCAGGACATCTAGAAACTTGGGGATTTCCGGGATCCTTGGAATTTTTCTAGTCTCCGGAAAATCTATGCTATCGAAGATTTCTAGGTTATCTTAGGGACTTTTCGAATCTCAAATATTCCAAGGAATCATAGAAACTACGAGATCTCTGGGACTTTTACAATCCCTGGTACCTTTTGGACCCCTAGGGATCCCTAGACCCTCTGGAATCTTAATCTTCCCTAGGATATTCGGGATCTCCGAGATCCGTGGGATCTTAGAGATCTTCGGGATCTCTCTAATAGCT